CCCCAAGGTCATCCAGCATCTTCTTCCTCGTCTTCTTGTCACTTCTATCCGCCCCTCTATCTTTCCTTCAATAACTGCTTTTAGAAGGCAGTGTCTGCGTAAAGCATGAGTTAGCTACATCGTATATAATATTCCTAGAGATTAATCTAGGAACTTTCTTTTTTGCTCTGATATTTAAGTCCCGAAAATTGCGTCCAGTTTGTTTCTCAGTTAAACAGGCATGAGGCTAGAACGAAAGCGATGTAAATGTAGAAAGTAAAGCTATCCCTATAACAGGCTGTGGAGGCCCATAGGGTTGTGAGAAGTCGAGGCTTAAACGGCTCACAAATGGCGGTAATGTCGTCAACCTCATGCGTCGGCTGCCTTTTACCTCTTTAAGTGTCTAAGTCGACCCCAGGGTCATATTGTGGCTGGAAGGATTAGGTCAATTGGAAAATCCAGTGACCTCATCGGGAATCGAATCCACAACCTTCCAGCTTCTAGCATAGTGTCTCAACCAACTACGCTACCGCGTGCCCTATGAAAGCAATGTACTGCTATATATTTTATGATAAGAGTGAAGAAGTATGATCTTTAATCGTCCACATAAACTCAAGTGCTGTCAGTTTGTAATAGAAAAGATTATGTCAATCATATTAAATTACAGGTCTTCAATCTTTTTTTTATATTGATCAACATTTAGCTTATTTAGTAATTCATGTAAAGTGTCATCTCTGATTTGACGGGAAGTATAAAAAGAACAAGTCTCTGTTTCTATTTCTCTGAGAAGTAGCCTTCTCTGAAAAACATTGCAGATACAACCAAGTCACAGAATGAAATCTAACCCAGACCGACTTAATCCACCTCTTAATTGTGATACCTTTAAATCATATCAATTTTAATCATTTATTATGACATCCTAATTAAATATTTGAACAAGAGTAATTTTTTATGACAGGAACTTCTCTTTATAAAATCTCTTGCAACCAGACACCAAATGAATATTCAGTTTAGAAAAAGTGTGTTACATTTAATTTCACGATGTTGAGCAGCATTATTTTATTATTATTATTAACTCAATCTGTGGAGCCCCGGAAAATCCGATAATCTTTCATCTTTTACCTGCCCTCATGAAACCCCAAATTTCATTTTCGTGGTCTCTACCTTTGAGGCGATCCGCCTAAATTTTTTACGGCCACGTATTTACTATAACAATCCCAATTTCTGGTACAGCTCTTAAACATTAGATCAATCACGTGGGTGCCACAGCTGTTACATATCGGCCGCATGTGTCCTACACCTCCATCACATATCATCAATCTGTGTCTTACAGCTCCTACGTATATCTTCAGCCCTGTGTGTGCTACAGCTCCTACATATATCTTCAGCCCTGTGTGTGCTACAGCTCCTACATATATCTTCAGCCCTGTGTGTGCTACAGCTCCTA